GGAAGGTTGAGAACCACTGCTGTAGAATGTCATAATATCTTCTTACTGAACAAAGTCATTCGTGTAAGCATGAGGTCATGGCAAAGAGGGATCACTCACACATGACTCATAGTACTTCCATTCTGCTATTTTCACTCCTCATGCTCTGAGAAGCAAGTTGAAGTTAACAATCCATTATTGTTTGAACTCTGCTGATTTGAATTGCTGAGAATAAGGAATACAAATCATTGCCTTAAAACAAAAGCATTAAAAAATCCATCAATCTTACTGTATCGTACAGTAATAGGAAAAGGAAAAGAAAGAAACACAGTTCAAGGGATGGTTGATCTATAGCTGAAATAGAAGTGGCAGGCAAAATTCTTGTTCAGTTTCAACCTCCCCCCCCATTCCTTTTACGTAGCCTGCTGCAAAGCAATCAAAGTAACAGTTCTCCTTCTTAAGCCAAAGCTCAGAAGCCAGAAAGAACAGTAAGGCAAGAGCTTCTTCCTGCAATAGGAAGCCACAGGATTATAAACAACACAGAATATAGCTCTGCACCAATTTCAACTACACTAAAGATGAATTGGAAATAAATCTCAGTTCTTCAACACTATTGACATCATGGAAATAAGAAGCCTAGAGCTACTTTGAAATTGGCATAGGATCTTTGAGTGGAACTGCCTTCTTACAAATTCTTCAGAAGGATGCCACGATCAACAGTGCTGAACCAGTTGAATTTCTGGGAGAATCAAAATAGCTTTACTATACTGCCATCGCTCCCCTGGCAAGGTCATCCTCAAGGGTTACAAGGCAACTTCAGTGACAAAGCCATGCCTGAACTCTACTTGAAATGAAATTTTCAACTTTCATTTCATTCAAGAATTTCTAAATCTGATAATTTATCCAACTGGCCTTCCCTTTCCTGCTAATCCACCATCGGTAGAAGTCAAATAATTATTAGCTCAAACTTAGTTGTCCACGTTTTGGGATTTATGAGTGCTGGAGATTAATCAAAGAATCTGGTTCGCTATATCTACCACCTCCACAGACTAATTGCCCGATCTGAGAAACATGCAATTAATTTTATCCTTGCATACTGTAAATATGTCAGCTAAGCTCTACCAGACCATAGAAGATTGGAGAATGCATTAGTTGATAATGCAACTAATTTCAAAAATTAATATTCTGATGAAACCAGAATTTTTAAAATTAGGATTTATGGACACACAATTAGAAAGGACTTGTGGATGATTACTTTTATACATGGTAATTGCAGCCAAGTTCCCATATGTACTAAGATGGAAAAACACTCCCAGATCCATAATGGAATTGTGAGGATGACAGAGCTTGCAGAATGGCCAAATTGTTTGACTAGGGACAAAGCAATAAAAGATTGAAAACTTTTTATGGACTTTTTGCTAAGAGACAAAAGTGAACTAGTTTTGCTAAGAGACAAAAGTGAACTGGTAATCTCTAAATTTGCAGATGAAAAAGGATAGAAAGGAACTATATAATGCAATTCTAAAGAGGGAGAAATGGTAAAAGTTTGTTTGTAACTGTTGTACAAATGATGTGTGTGAGTTGGGGGAAACTGGGAATGGGTCTGGGAGAGCCAGCACAGGCCATTTGTCAGTAGGTGGGTGTTGTTGCAGGAGGAGAAAAAGTGGAAGGTGTGAGGGCCACAAATTTGCAGACCATTGTAAGCCCCCCTTATTCAGCACCGCCATAATTTTGAATGGTTGCTGAATGAATAGACATAACCATAAGGCTACCTATAAGAAGCCACTTGTTTAACTTTCTTTTTTCTTTTTTTTTTCTTTCTTTATCTGTACTGCTTCTAGCACTTTTTTTTTTGCACTTTTATCATTCTTACTTTCCTTTTATATTTGTTTGTTTGCCTTTTTATTGAATAAAAGCTTTCAATAATACAGACCCAGACACATATAAAAAAGCTCAAAGAGAATTGAAAGGACAAACCAAAAGTGAAGAGAATACAGGTAGTCTTTGACTTACGACCACAATTGAGCCCAAATTTTCTGTTACTAAGTGAGAAAGTAGTTAAATGAATTTTGCCCCATTTTACAGCCTTTCTTGCACAGTTATTAAGTGAATCACTACAGTTAAGTTATTTTTTAAATGAATCTAGTTTCCCCATTGACTTTGCTTGTCAAAAGGTCGCAAAAGGTGATCACATGACCCCAGGACATTGCACCCATTATAAATATCAGTCAGTTGCAAAAGCATCTCAATTTTGATCAGGTGACCATAGTGATGTTGCAACAGTCGTAAGTATGAAAAACAATCATAAATTACTTTTTTCTGTATAACTTTGAAGGGTCACTAAACCAACTGTGGTAAGTCAAAGATTACTTGTACATTGGAGGCTAAAACATATAAAGAACAGTTGTAGGAACTGGGTATGTCTAGTTTGATGAAGAGAAGGACTAGGGGAAACATGATAGCAGTGTTCCAATATCTCAGGGGTTGCCACAAAGAAGAGGGAGCCAAGCTATTCTCCAAAGCACCTGAGGGCAGGACAAGAAGCAATGGATGGAAACTAATCAAGGAGAGAAGCAACCTAGAACTAAGGAGAAATGTCCTGACAGTTAGAACAATTAATCAATGGAACAACTTGCCTCCAAAAGTTGTGAATGCTCCAATACTGGAAATTTTTAAGAAGATGTTAGATAACCATTTGTCTGAAGTGGTGTAGGGTTTCCTGCCTAAGCAGGAGGTTGGACTAGAAGACCTCCAAGGTCCCTACCAACTCTTGTTATTCTATTCTATTATTCTGTTATAGTTTATAGGTCTCTTGTACTGCCACAGAATAATTTTGATAACCAGAAGTTACATTTTTCTCTACATGTATTCCAGTAATCTCCCAACTTGTGCATTTTCCTGAATGGGCTGAATGTAGGATCTCTTCCCCCCCCCCCACACACACCTAATCTTAGCAGGAAGAGATCTGATGGAAAATCTATTAACAAAGTTCCTGAATGACACTTTGATGGTCTGCAACTGCTATTGGATAAAGGACCCATTAAAAAAATAAATATCAAAATATAATTTTGAATTACTTTTAGCTTTAATATGCTTTTAGTATTATTTATAAAATTGGCTGCCTCTGGCAACTGAGCAGGTGTCTTTAAGGGTAGTGGACTATCGTAATTTATATAAACAAGTCATCAATACATACTTCTGCTGAAACCCCTTCAAATTACGAGATAAATGAAAAGCTATATGCTCTTGCCCAGTTCCTTATCATTTCAGCAGACTCTACATGGTAAAACTTCCTAGGTATTCAAGGATTCTCTAATAAGAGAATCTCTCTGGTTTTCCAAAGATAGATTCTGCATAAAAGGATAATCCAGAATTTGAAATATACCACCAGAGAAATCTTCTCTTATGAATGAAGGAAGGGTGCATGAGGTGGGGGAGAACAATGGCTCTGTTTGATCAGTAAATCAATGTAAGTTTGGATAAATATTAGTCTCATTTTTCAGAGATGGAGTAAAGGACAAGACAGACCAAAATGACTTATATCTACATTATTATTATTATTTATATATTATTATATTATATCTATCTATATTAGATACCATGGAGTTTGGGGGAAGGGGGTAGGAGAAGCACATTTCACCTTAAACTCTTATGTTCCCAGCCTCCATTTGCTTATCAGAAGGGTTATTCTTATTTTTTTTTAAAGTGTCCAGATGATTTAGATTTTCAAGCAAATGAAAATCTAAATCAAGCAAGAAGATGGCAAGTCCAATTATCTTGAATGGAAGATCGAAGAAACAAAAAATGGTTTCATGAGCTGCCATTACCAACTCCACATGGTAATCTCTATTCTGAAAGCCATTTTGGAAAAGCTACTATGCCCTGAGGAGGAGAATGGTATAGAAGCAGAAAAGACTTAAGAGATGAAAAGGAAAACAAAAGAGAAGACAAATAATAGGGGGGAAAAGAGAAAGAGATCACTAATAATAATAATAAAAAAGGCATACCAGTCAAGGTAGAGTTGCCGGCTGGCGACCCCCAGGGGGAGAGCCTTCTCTGTGGCAGCACCTGCCCTCTGGAATGACCTGCCCCCTGAGATACGCACGATATCAGACCTCTGGACTTCTCGTCGGGCCCTGAAGACACACTTGTTCCATCCAGCTGGGCTGGCTTGATCCCATCCTCTCAGTTTTTTAATCGAATTCGGTTTTAATTGGGTTGTTTTAAATTTGGGCCAAAATTATTTAATTGTTTTTTTAAATGTTTTTTAAATTTTATATGCTATGTTTTATCCTGGCTGTACACCGCCCTGAGTCCTGCAGGAGAAGGGCGGTATAGAAATAAAATAAAATAAAATAAAATAAAAAAATAAATAAATAGAGAACTAACTCTGAGAGGTAATATGGATATTCCTATTGATCATAAGCAACTATTATCGTGTCTTTTTCTGTTTCCAAACCTTCTGTTTCTGTTTTGTGCATCTTGGAAAGTAAATGTTAGGAAAGGGATATTTTATGCTTGACTCTGGGATGCTTTTATAAACGTAAAGATGAAGAAGAAAAAATACTTCCAATACATAAATAAGAGAATTCCAATTTCTCTCTCCCTCCATTTCCAAGCACCACAGGAAACTGGATCACAGAAATAAGGATTAGTATACAGTAATAGTCTGAACTGAGCAAGGTGAAAAATAGACCCCCAAATTCTAGTAAAAAGAGAGAAAAAAATATGCTAACATAGTCCAGCAACTTCTGTTATAAAGTGTAACCTACTTTTAAAAGAGAAAAAATTATTGATCTTTTATAAGCAAATAGGAGGTTGAAGGTGGATTCACACTAGTTTGAGGATAAAGTGGAGCTGCACGAAATGTCAGATAGCACATCATATTTTTAGGGCATTTTTACGATATGGGTTTAAAATATTTGTTAGCAGGTCTACGAAAAAATTGTTTGAGGTGGCAACATAAATATGTATTTTTAAAATAAAAAACAAGTTGCTAAAGAGTAAAACTTTGCCCTTACCTTGCTCCGTCTCTCTATTTCTTCTCTGTTCTTTCCTTTTGCATGAAACTTTCGCAGATGTCATCTAACCTACAGACAATAAGAACTGGGGGAAGAAGCAGAGAAAACCAAACCAAAGAAACCACCTTCCTCTTACAAGCAAAATAATGTATTCAAGGAGAGAACTTGACATGTTACCCCCTCCTTAGCTCACATAGATGCATATCAATCACACTATAAGCAACTTAATGGAAATTGCAGAGAGAGAGAGAGAGAGAGAGAGAGAGAGAGAGAGAGAGAGAGAGAGAGAGAGAGAGAGAGAAAGAAAGAAAGAAAGAAAGAAAGAAAGAAAGAAAGAAAGAAAGAAAGAAAGAAAGAAAGAAAGAAAAAAAGAAAAAAAGAAAAAGAAAAGGCTGGCAGTCCCAAAGGTGTTTTTTCAAGAGGCAACTGGACTTTCTGGTTTTTCTTTGAAGACGTTTTGCTTGTCATCTAAGAAGCTTCTTCAGCTCTTCTTCTTCAGTTGAAGAAGCTTCTTTGATGAAAAGCAAAATGTCTTCAAAGAAAAACCAGAAAGTCCAGTTGCCTCTTGAAAATAAAATCTTTGGGACAACCATGACCTGGATGACTGAGAATCTCCATAGACAAAAGGCAGGCAGAAAGAAGAAAAAGAAAGAAATCCAATTAGGTTAGTTTACACCAACATCCTTGTTGTACTTTCTGAACTTTTCTATACTTGCAAATCATCTTGGCTTCTGCCATATCTGTACACCACTTCATTATCTTTTATTCCTGAAAGTTTTCACTGCTTTCTTTTTGAGGATCTGATCAATTTCATCCAACCATAATTTTCTCAGTCTTCTTCCATTCCCAACCCATTCATTCTTCCTTCATATATTTATTTTGCAATTTAACACTCGTTCCTACACTCTGTATGATCAAATAACTCAATGTATTTCTTTCATACTGTCACTTTTGCATTCAACCCATATTCATTCAGCATTCATTCATTCTTGATCCTTGTTTTCTTTTATCACACACATTTTCTTTTTTTTTTAATTGAAAAGTTTTAAAAAGTTTACATATATATCCCCCCTTCCCTCCACCCTTCTCAACCCTCCCCCTCCCACCCACCCCCCTCCCTACTTCCCAGAGCAAAATACAGGGTATAACATTCAACAATCATAATCTAACATAGTCTAATTAATTATAACCTCTTACATCCCTCTAATACTTTAACTCCCCATTTACCAAACTAAATTTGAATACATTATAACATCTCTCTATCTATCACACACATTTTCCAATCCCGTCCCACTCCGGTCACCTTAGAGTGAAACTTTGTTTCAGCATAGTCTTCATCATTGATCAAATTCTCACTTCAATTTATGTCACTTGCATGATATAATCATAGAAATGACCCATAACAGTGCAAATGATGCCAAATCACATAATTTGTGTAATGATATCACAAAAATCTACATTACACTATCTGTTATTCAACAATAATGATGACCAGTTGTTAATGCCTTCTCCCTAGGAAAAGTGGTAACTAACAGATGTTGTTAGTCCAGAGAAAGTTTCAGGGTTAAGAAGCAAAGTCTATTAAAAGGAATTAATTTAAAATAAGATATAAAAATGCAAATTCTTTTAAGTTAAGTTAAGGTTAAGGTTAAAGGTTGAATATTAAATCTTGGTCTTTTGCAGGTTTTTGTATTTATTTTAATAATAATGCCCTTTTAAAAGAAAGTCTCATTTCTGCAGGGCTGCCATTATCCCCCTTTAAAAAGGAACTAATAACATCTTCCTCAAAAGAACTGCCTTCTCCAGTCAATTTCTCATTTTGCTTCTCTCAGAACTTATTATAACTTGATCTTCTACGTTCCATAATCCTATCAATTTCAAGGTATGCATTCTATGTTATGAGTTGCATTTAGTGTCACTGATCCTTCAAAAATCCATGACCTATTGAGTGAGCACAAGGGAGGGGAGCAATAGGGTATGGATAGAGAAATAAGAATTCCCTCTGTGTCTGTTCTTTGTCTATTATTTTGGTTACTCTTTGTTATGTCCGTATAAGGACATCCGCCCTGATTGGCTGCTAGCCATCGGGCGGGAAATTTGAATCCCTGTCAAGGGGCGGTGCGTCTGCCGGGAGCGAATATAAGGAGAGCTCCGGCAGCGCGCCAGCAGTCTTGTCTTGTTACTTTTGTAGCCAATAAAGTTATTAAATGTATCGAGCTGGTCACGTCTTCATTTCCTGCGCCTGATCTAACACTGGCGACGAAGGACTAGAGAAGAGAACCTGAGCAAGACTCGTGGCACGATCGCCCACCGAGCTGAAGTCACTAAACCACAGCGACTTCCAGAATGGCAACCCAGCAAGCTCCGATTGCCGCACTGAACCCATTCGATCCAGCCCGAGAGAAGTGGAGGTCGTACATGGTCCGATTCCAGCAGTTCCTGCGAGGCAATGGCTACCAGAACCTCGACGATGAGCGGAAAAGAGCCCTCTTCCTGGCTCACTGCGGATCGGACGTCCTGGAGATGGCGATTGACCTCGTGGCACCCAGGGACATTGAGGAGATGTCCTGGACCGACTTGCAAGAAGCCCTGCAGGAGCACTACGCACCCACAGGCACCCCAATCGCAAACAGGTTCACCTTCCAGCAGAGAAACCAGCGGGAAGGTGAATCCATCAAGGAATTCGTGGCAGCGCTTCGCCAAATCGCTGCCAACTGCGAGTTCGACAACGTGGACAATGCCATCCGTGACCGCGTTGTTTTTGGGATGCGAGATGTGGGGCTGCAGAAGAAGTTCCTCAGCCGAAAGAGGATCCCACTCAAAGACGTCCTCGACGAAGCAACAGCGGCTGAAACATCTGAGAAAGCAGCTGCCGCGATGGTTAAAGCAAGAGGGATCCACAAGATCCACAAGTCGGGCCTGATCTCCTCAGACGACTCAACCACACAAACGGAGTCTGATGAGGAAATGGCCGTCCACAAGGTTTCCCGCCCCCCCAGGCGGGAAAACCCACAGCATGGCGACCGGGGAGAACGATGCGGCAGTTGCAAAGGCGACCTGCCGCCGATGCCTGAAGAGGGGGCACATCGCCGAAGCCTGCAGAGCAGCAGATCCAGCCCCGGAACCACCCAGACCACGACTCCGCGAGAATCGCAAAGATAACCAGAGGACATCCAAACGGTCCTCGAACCAGTCCCGGCGCGGGGAGGAGGAATATTCCCGCAACAGAACGGTGCACCAGACCACCATCGCTCACACAAGCGACGAGGCGACCACCAAGTTCCACGTGACGCTGCTGGCAGAAAGGTCACCGTGCAAAATGGAGGTAGACTCCGGATCCGCCTACTCCATCATGGACTGGCAGCACCTGCAGCAGCTGAAGCCATCCTGCAAGAAGACCCAGCTGAAAACCCCGAAGTTGAGGCTTGTGGACTTCAACGGAAACCCCATTGGAATCCTGGGCAGAACCACCATCCACATCAAATACAAGGACTTTAACGGAGAGCTGCCCATCACCATTGTGGAGAACAGCCGACCGAACCTGTTAGGAGTAGAGTGGTTTAAGCCGCTGGGGCTTTCCATTGAGGGCATCCACGAAATCCATAGGGACGAACTCGACACCATCCTCGAAGAGTTCAAAGAAGTCTTCGATGGTAAACTGGGGAAATTTGTGGGGAGGCCAATCTCCTTTAATCTGGACAAGGGAATCACCCCAATCAGGCTTAAGCCCCGCCGAGTTCCGTTTGCCCTGCGGCCGAAAGTAGATGAACAGCTGGATAAGCTGATCGCCCAGGGCGTTCTGGAACCGATCGATCATGCCTCATGGGAGACCCCCATTGTGACCCCACTGAAGCATGATGGGTCTGTGCGCATCTGCGCCGACTACCGTTGTACCATCAACAAGGCGTTGGCACAGAGCGCATACCCAGTCCCAGTCGTGCAACATCTGTTGCATTCCCTGGGAACGGGCTCAATTTTCGCGAAACTGGACCTGGCCCAGGCTTACCAGCAACTGCCAGTGGATGAAAAAACGGCGGAGGCACAAACAATTGTCACGCACAGGGGGGCATTCAAATGTAACCGCCTCCAATTTGGAGTCAGCGCTGCCCCAGGCATTTTCCAATCCATGATGGAACGCCTTCTCCAAGGCGTTCCAGGGGTGGTGCCTTACTTCGACGATGTGCTTATCTCCGGGGACTCAAGAGCTCAACTCCTTGAAAGGCTCAGGCTTGTCCTGCAGCGGTTCAAGGCCAAGGGCTTGAGGGTCAGGCGGGACAAGTGCATCATAGGAGTACAGGAAGTCGAGTTCCTGGGCTATCTCATTGATAGCACTGGCATCCACCCCACCAAATCAAAAGTGGAAGCAATCCATGAAGCTCCAAGCCCAAAAAACAAAACGGAGCTTCAGGCTTTCCTTGGGTTGCTCAACTTCTACGCCATTTTCTTAAAACAGAGAGCCACAGTTGCTGAGCCATTCCACCGCCTGCTGGGGAAATCGGCTTCCTGGAAGTGGGGCCAGGAAGAGGAAGCAGCATTCCGGGCCATCAAAGGACTATTGACGTCCAAGAGCGTCCTCATCCAATACAGCGAGACGCTCCCCATCAAGCTGACCTGTGATGCGTCGCCTTACGGGGTGGGGGCAGTTCTCAGCCACGAACTGCCCAACGGCTCGGAAGCCCCGATCGCTTACTTCTTGAAGACCATGTCTGGCGCAGAACGGAACTACAGTCAGCTGGACAAAGAAGCCCTGGCCATCGTGGCAGGAGTGAAGCGCTTCCACGAATACCTCTATGGAAGACGCTTCACCATAGTCACTGACCACAAGCCACTCCTGGGACTCCTCGCAGGCGACCAACCCACCCCGACCTTCATGTCCCCGCGGATGACGAGATGGGCCATCTTCCTAGCCGGCTACTCCTATAGGCTCGTGCACCAGCCAGGCACAGCCATAGGAAATGCCGACGCGCTCAGCAGATGCCCATCGAAGAATCCAGTCGAAGACCCAGCCCCCACGCTCCACCTATTCCACATAGACGACGCCAGCTGTCCAGTCTCATCCGCA